AGAGTTGATAGCTACTTCATTAATCAGTTAATATGTAGTTACATCATCAGATAGATTGCTTAGTTACCGATGAGCTGAGAAAAAATTTTGATTTATTTCAAATTTGCTGTTGAATCATATGATGGTATCTAATATTAATCATTTCTATGATCAACAACTGCGGTGTTTGCATATCTACCTTGTCAAGTATGTACATGATTTAACTGTTTAAATACCTAATATATGTGTAAAACTTGGGCACTGTGGTATTAAGTAATTCCATATTAGTTTGATTATTAAATGTATCACACAGTGAAACAGTATTGTATACTGTATATCCAGTATACAATACTGTTCCACTGTGTGATACATTTAATAATCAAACTAATATGGAATTGTTTAAATACCTGTTAACTCCCAGCTAGAGTGCTCTAAGATCAACAGCTTTCTATCAGGAGTCAGTAAATTGTCTTAGTCTAAGTGTCGTAAACTGCATCTTTGCAAATGTCAGACTGTTAACTTCAGTTTTAGATGCAAGAGAAAGTTGAATGAAGCTGTTTATTTCTATGACCGTTGTATAATTGATGGTAGTGATATGGAAATCAAGTCTGAAGTGAATGAAGTATATTGCATTAATCCTTTCTTTTGACCAGTCCTGGTCTTCACCTGCGTTAGAGATTTCTAGAAGAATATTCCGTTTGACTTTCGACATCAAGAAGTTAAGGCATTGTGGCACAACTCAAACTCCTCTTACAGTTTGTCAACTCATGCATCTTACCTATTCTTCTGACTATTCACCTTTATTCTTTCCTGGATTGCTTAAAAAAGACTATGTCATATTTAGTAAAACTCTGAAGACTGCCAGTAGGGCGAGTGGTCTCCCTTTGGGCCATATCGTTGTAATCGTCACTGACAATGGACACTTGATTTTGGCAAACTGTAAGCAATAACTTTACCTGCAGTTTTCTACTTGTGTCTCTTTGGGAAGAATAAGAGGTCATTTCAAAAGACTGTATGCGTGCACGTCTTAGTATAAAGCATCAATGATACCATATTTGGCACCTAGTGGCACAGCGGTCAGGACTCTTGCCGACCATACACATTTTCCGGGGTTCGAGCTCACGCTGACGCACACCTGGTAACTATGTTCGGCCTGCGAAATTTGGGGTACCGATATCCAAGTTGAAAATTCCAAACCTGTACCCAAAATGCGGTGTGGAATCAAGTGTAATCAAAGATAAAAAAATTAAAGTACTTCAGAAAATTAAAACAATTAGCCCCTTTGATAAATTTGAATAAGGCATTAAGAAGACAAATTTCGCAAGACGATATCATTTCGTAGTCTCTTTACAACCGCCTTACAACTAAAATGGTTAACAACGATAAAATTAGGTTCATGAAAATTATGTAAGTATGTAAGAACAACGATTTGACCAGTTATACAGCGTCTAATATATTTAGACATAATTAACCTACGCTGCTTACTTCTGCGACGCATCACCTAAAGCTACGTAGCTACCTTAAAATGGTTTCCGCTGAAAGTAATTTCCTATGGCCAATACCTTAGTGAGCAACTTAAGTTTATCCTTGAATTACAAAGTAAACGTGGACATCCTGATAACTTTCCTGATAAAAAGATCATTTCCTAGTCGAAAAAAGTAAATATCCCATGACCTCATTATTTACTGTCACTTAAGGAATAAAAATAAATTTATCGAAGACAGGGTGCTTATGATTTCTAGATATCACAATGAACCTTGGGGAAAAACCTATATCCATAGGGTTATAACAGTTGGGTGCGTGAAATTAATCCGAAACACAGCGACTACGATTTTCAGTCACAGAACATTCTACTTTGCTACCTAATCGTCTGGTTTTATCAACAGATATTTCGCCAAGAAAAAGAAGACCGCTGCTTCAAGGAAAATTTATTTAAAGTTTTCTTAAAAATCATGGACATCCGTATTTATAGCCATGGAGAAATCACAACTTCTAGAAAGCCACCGATCGTAGACCACAACTCGAAACGTTATTCTTGCTAATTAAAGTGTTACCTTTAACTGGGATAGTTCGTACACTCAGCAGATCACTAAAGGTTATCCGCTTTTTAAATCGTTTTGCAACATATCGAATGGCTGTTAACACTTTCTTTACAACAGGCAGTCCTAGACTATAGGGGTTCCAGTTTCTTTTTTCCCCTAAAATACACACAAGCACAACAGATTCTCACATCTTATGTGGCTCAAACTTGTTTGATTTAGATTCTCTCACAATATATATCTAATTTTTAGCCGGTAACAGACAGACTGATGGTATATTCACACTTTTGAGAAGCATCAAAGCTTTTTCAACTTCAACCCAGGTTCTGAATTCTCAAAGTTTAATATGATCATTGAAAACATTGCAAATATCAACTCTGATCGTGCTGTCCTCATCAGATTTACTCGTAGATTGCTGCATGCTGTAAACATGAACGTGAAAGACATTAGTTTTCCAGATTTCTACAAGTTAAGTAACCAAATGAGCCAGCAAGAAAACCGACAATCAACAAGTGAACCAGAAACAACAGCTTCTGTCACCCAAACATTTTCACGTGCATAATTTCCAAAGCTTCTACACAGAAGTAATTCATTAATAGCTGAAAAATAACTAAAACACTGAAAGCCGCATGAAAGCAGCATATGCAACTATTACAATGGAATGAATGCACTGACCTGGAGGTAAAAACTTTCGAAACAAACGAAATAACTAATTTCAACAGCAACGGAAAAGAAAATGAAGAGAAACACAATATTCATGAACAATGTGTATCATGATAAGTTGTGATTAACTGCAGGATAAACGTAAAATCCAATGCATAAACGAACGGCTAGGGAAGCGCAATCCAATATAGCCGACAAACATGGATGAAAATGACCTTCAGGTGTCTCACTCTACAAAGACCTTGTACGTGACGGACGGGTTCAGCCGACCACGAGGGATGAGTTTCGGATGGAGTACCACGAAATTCTAAAGTTTTGTAAGTACAAGATTGACAAAAGTTGAATAGAGTATGGGAGACAGTACTGAATTGTGTTCATTATCCAAAAAGACTGTACTCGTATATCAAGTACAGGACGAAAACTGGCTGTGGTATAATATCCCTCATCAGCAATGCTGGAGAGGTGGCGAATCAGCGAAACAAATGCTAAGAAGCTCTCCGAATAATTTTGCTATGTTTTTTCGCTTAATCGTACCACTCAGGGGTGTAGCAAGGTCACTGATGTAGCCCTTGAAACGCTCACAATCGTGGTAGAGGATCCAGTGGTTCTCAAACTTCTGTCTAAACTGAAACCGTGCTAATCACCTGGACCTGACGAACTTCACCCTAGCCTGCGGATATAGAACACATTCGACCTGTGGAGATTTTTCAATTTTCACTGATCCACGCTAGGCTCCTCAGGGACTGGAAAGATGCTTTTGTAAGCCCTGTTTTCAAAGAGAGGGATAGGAAGATAATATGTATCTACCAGCCTTTAAGTCTGACCTGCATTATAACAAAGGTGTTAGAAAAGCCCGCAAGGGATCACCTCTTAGCTCATATGGAAAACATGGTTTACTGGTAGTGGAACAGCATGGATTCCGACTAGGGCGATCCTGCTTGACAAACTTACTGTTAGCTAGGGAAGATTGGGTCGAGGCCAGGGGCAAGAACCATCTACCGAACGTTGTCTTCATCGATCTTAGTAAAGCATTCGATAAGGTATCCCATTTAGATCTTCTTAGTAAACTTAAACGTTCTGGATTAAACCAGTAAATATGTGATTAGTTTAGTGACTACCTGGTGGATATAAGGCAGAAGGTAAGGGTTAATGGTGTACTCTCAGGGTGGAAAGCAGTACTAAGTTGAGTAGCTCAGAGAAATGTACTCGTCCCCTTGCTATTATATGTAAATGAAGTGCCGAAAATTCTCACCTAAGTTTCCTTACTATTTCCGGGAGATATTAAGATAAATAAGCTGAATGGGCTAACCTCTGAAGTCCGGAAATTAATTCCAAAAAAGCGCGGTACTGCATTTAGGTCAGAAGTCTTACACGTCGTACTCCATGGGGGACACAGAACTGCCAGATGTTCGGGGACAAAAGGACTTAGGAACTATTGTAAGCCATGACTTAAAAACAACGGCAAATTGTAATCGAGCGCAGCTAAGGCTTTTCGAATACTAAGGGCACTCCGAAGGACTTTCAAACCATTAGGCGAGGGTATGTTCCAAGCACTCTATGCAACATATGTCAGACCTCTAGAATACTGTATAAAAGCGATGAGTCCATGCTTCAAAAAGGAGGAACATATCTTAGAAAGAGCACAAAGGGTGGGTGCCAGATTAGTTAGTGGTATCTCACACCTTATTATGATAAGATGATGGAGCATTTAAATCTCTTCCCACTATCATACAGAAGGTGGAGAGGCGACTTAGTTTTGGCTGTTTATAAAGAGTGACTTAAGTATTAACTTTTCAAACCTTTTCTCTCCCTCTACGATACATTTACGAGGTCACCACAAGAAGGTGCTCAAACCAAGGACGATTAAAATACTTGTGGTAACCCAACGATTAGGACTCACGCCAACCATGCACATGGTCCGGGGTTTGACCCACTGTCGACGCATACCTGGTATCTGTGGTCGGCTTGCAAAATTTGGGATACTGATATCAAAAGCTGAAAATTCCATACTTGTACCAAAAACACTGTGTGGTTTCAAGCTATAATAAAAAAATAAAATAGTTGGTAAGCGGCTGGAACTCCCAAAGCTGATACAGTAGTAACAGCTTAATCAGTGGACGCTTTCAAAGATAAACCGTATCTTTGCAGAGATATATATAGCAAGGATCAACATAAGCAACAAGAGCCTTTTATCCTGACAATCTGAATCTTAATTGTAAATTGAATTCAACGTAGGTTAATACGCTAACTTGAAATTTCAAGGTCACCCGGCAGATTGGTTGTATGCTGTCGCTATGAATATTGGAAGCGAGTCGGGTGATGATGTGAGCACATGTTTCAGGTTTATCATAACCTGTTTAGAGGGATGTACAAAGAAAGGAGGAAGCTGAAAAGAGAAATCAGGAAATTCGTTCCAGCATCCTAGCTCAGGTTTTAGACCAAGACGCCAGAGCACGTTGTAGGTTAAAAATAAATATAATGCATCCGTTTGCAGTGAATACCATTGCTATCACAAAGCCAGAAAAAGCCAAAATGGTGGAGAATATGCTCATAAATATGGCTCAAAGTGGACGTTTAGGACCCAAGGTAAGCTCACCTAAGACCCTAATCGATTGGATTATTAAGGGAGGCGAATTTTTTTTAAAAAGTTTGATCTTGTTTTATTCGAGTTTAATGGTGTTACGGTGGCTTTATACAATTCCTCAAAGGCATAATACTACTTAGAACTTATGAATTCACATGAGCATCCTGAAAGTAATTCGGGCGCAATGATTGAACTTAAATTTGGCTTCAGCTTGTTTAATCTCTGCATGCTAGACTTTATAATGGATTGGATTTACTACATAAAGCCTACTGTATGACCGTGATTCAGGGCATCTGTTTGAAGTGATTCTTATTAGACTCTCATAGCTTTGGCTTTTAGGAGGTACGTGATCACTCAGCACAATAGTGAAAGGAGTAATATGGATGAGAGGTGTCAATATATGAACGCGTGAATTTTAAGAATTCAATGGCGTGTGTATAATTAACAGCGTGTTCATAAACATTTACTTGATATAATATTTTATAGGTCAGATTGAGGCAAATCCATTTTGTCATAGTTCTGAAGTTTACTTACTTCGTGTTTGTGATGTATGTTCGTCCAATTGTTTCATAGAATACCAGTGGAATTCCATATAGCTCTATCTATGCACATGCGAAATACCCACTAAGTATATATGTGTAAAGTTTCGTGTTGTATACAAATCCTCAACTTTACACAGTGAAAGAACTCATACATTGCATGGACCATGTTTTTTGTGAGTATAGAAGAAACTGAATTTTCACTATTTCTACTGTCTTGTAATATTATTTTGAATATTGTTTACCCACCTCAGCTAAAAGGATTGAATGAGCTTTTGTTCTTCTTGATTGATTGTGACTATGAGTGGAATCCAGATTGCACACTTAGTGTTACTTGAGATTCTTAGCTGCAGGTTTGGTGTCCCTACTTAAATTTGTTTCATTCACCAAAGCCTCAGATGTTCAACCTAGATTCCATTGTGGATAAGATTTTATTTTAGTAAATCACACTGTTATACAGTAATACTAACTACTGACTTCTCCAGCACAAACTATTGCTCATAATCAAACTTGTTATGATCATGGGCAATAGTTTGTGCCGGAGACGTCAGTGGTTAGTATCACTGTATAACAGTGTGATTTATCAGAATAAAATCTTATCAATAATGGAGTTATACTCTACCACAGTTTTGTACTTATGTCAATAACACGTATGGGTTCCATTGCTAGTCACTGCTAATCAAGAATAACTTCACGTTTGTCCTTAGATATCGTAGAAGTACCCATATGCGGAGTCGACATTTCAATATAAACCTAGTATTCGAAATTAATCTAATCAATAGGTTATGTAAAACTAACTTAAGGACTAAACAATATGTTGTTCTGTTCTAATTTCTGCTAGCACCATTGTTTGCAAGCGATTGTAAGAGAAAACCGTCTCAGTGGGATTTTGCTATGTAGTTTTATATTGATATGGTAGGATTAAATTTACTGTAACTGGTGTGGTTGTATCTCCCTGCCTGAAACATCCAACCATAAGCAGAGTTTTCAGTTTGATTCCCTTCTCGTTTTAGCACTAGATAACCGTATAGTATTGTAATTATTCGCATTGAATACGATATGTAGCATGATCCAGATGATTCCGTTTGATTACGTTTGGTTTTAGTTCGGAAGTGTTTTGATTAAAAAGGTATCTTAAATTTTTATTTTAACTGGTATACTTTTGTGTTTATCAAAATAGTTACTTCCTACTGATCTGCTTTTGTTAATTTCAACCCCATTACAAACTTTACAATTTAGTTGAATGAAGAACAGTTAAAGCAGATTCTCTTAAAAGTTTCTTCCGGCACACAGAAATCCACTACAGTAAAGGTAAGATATTCAATACCCCTAATTTTCACGTCGTCTACCACTCTAGTTCGACCGTCGCCGCGCGGCCATAGACTCAGATGAAGATTAGCGCATTCAAGGTTTCTTACATCCAATTCACTAATTAAGGCCTTGTATATGGATTATTTGCTTGCCGTGCAGATTCGACCTGTAATTTGTTATAAATTATAAATAAATGATAGTTTTATGTATTGTTTATGTGACGGCACTTACTTTTTATCGTACTTAGAGAAAAACATTTTATTTGCGTTTACATCTATATGTAAAGTTACTCTAACGGTCCTATCATTTTTGAAGCGACTATGATAATTGTACACGTGCGTGTTGTTTTTAAAACTGTCGACGTTCTTCCATAATGAATCTTGTAAATTTTGTGTTTGAACAAGCAATTTTCGATGCGGAGTATAAAAATTGTGTTTGTGTAGTAATTTATTGTAATTGAAATTATTAATATACCGGGATGACGGAATTATAGGAATCTAATCAAAACCCAGAGAGGGCAGCAATCCGGAATTTGTATTTAGCGGAATTCGAATGCAATTCATATATGAAACATATCAACAGTCAACAGTAAGTATTTTAAACAATACAGAGATAGAAATTGTCAATCACCACTGTTTGGTTCGTGTTTATTGAAGAGAACAGCAACCGTTGATAACCACATTGTAATTATATAGCCTACCATTTCTTTATTCGACCCTTCTTATATGGGAAATGAACGGTGGACAGACAGTATGGTTTTTCCTGTCTGAGGAGTTAATAATATGAACGCATGCATATTGTTAATCTAGAAGCTAATAGGCGGCCTATCTTATGCACCATAGACTGCGAAAGGCGCTATAAAATGAGTTTATAGGAGCAAGCCACACCTAGTTTATATAACCAGTATATTCGAAATGTTTTAGTTCACTGTCAGACGTATATTGTTTGCCATCACTTGTGCATGCAGATATCCGCACCACCAAAGATTCACTAGGAGGAAATTAATCTGAAGCTAGATCTTAATAGAAATACATTCTTAAAAGTTTGTAAAGTTTGCACAAAAGCGAATAGAATGAGTGTATATTTGCACCTATATTGGTGACTTATATCGGGGTTCAGTCGTGCCTCATCAATAAAGTCGTATCATTTTCAGTATGCAGGAAATTCCGTTGTGCTACCACACAGTATTCAGTCAAATTGAATGACAACCTACCATTGAAGTGGGTGAGAGCGTGTATCAAACAATATCTCAATCAAGTTTAATGTTGTTTCTGGTCATGCTGGATGAATTGACAGGTCTTTCAGTGTGGTATGTAAGGTAACTCGAAGGAATTCTACTTGTATTTTTATACAACGGAAACCCTTGGTATATTATTATAGGGATGATGGTGTTCTATTCCCAGAGTCGTTTAGTTGGATTTCTGTTGCTACTATGGCCTTGAAAGTAGGTCCTTTCTTCCTGATCTGCTGTGTGATGATTTTGTATGCAATTAATTTGTTTTCGCTTTCCTTGATAAAGGTTTTTATAAAATATCATATATATATATATATATATATATATAGCCATTGATTGATATCAAGGTTTGGACTTTATTGGGATTTTGCATGGCCTTTGTGAAATATTTAACTGTAGAGCTTTGAAGAGAAGTTATGAAAAGTGTTAGTCCCATAGACTGATGACTTTTTAATTCACATGTGATGTGAATTATATTTAATTAGTGTACACAGGCGCATCATATCCTTCTAGGGTATCCAAGTTTTAAGTACTCGTCATCCGTAAGTCAACAGAGTTATGCACTGGTATTAATCCGTTGGGAAAATGGCATCAGAAATGTCCACTTATCCAGCTCTTTGTGTATTTGTTAATAATAGAAGTATTACAAAGGAATTTGTTCTCATAGGAAAGACTTAGGTTAATCTGTTGTAATTTTTGGTAGTTAATTTGTCCTGCCTGACCAAGTGAAGAATAGAGTTTATTTTGTTTTCAGTATATTTATATTTTTCCGCTATGTAGAAAGTACCTGACTTAGTGGGGAACTGTTTGTAATGATACCATTGCACACGTGCAACAGCTGTTTAGTAATTTACGAATTTCGTGTTCCAAGGTGAAATTTCCCTATGCAAATCGGAAATAATCGGAAATGTTTGACCGGTGTAACACCGTAAATGTCACAGAAAAGCGGGCGAACATTGTATATGAGATAGCTAGTTGAAAACCACTTAGACCAACTAGTAGCGGTGGATCGATTGATCACTCTGATCAATGTTGCGGTCGGAAGGTGATTTGGTACTGCTGGAGAATAAGGATGTAAGAACACTAAGATGCTCACTTCCAGAAAACACTGTAAACAGTCTGTCTGTGATCGACGTTAAAGTTATTTGGTAGACACTGCGGTCACATAAAACAAATATTCCTTCTGTTTCCGGAGTATATTAACTTTCATGATGTAGAAAGCCGGGAACTAGTAACTACCGACACACTTGCATAAGCGCAGAGTGGTCTAATCATCGTTCAACTTCATCTTTTTGCTGCTAATTGAAATTTGTTGATAGTTTCTTCACTTTCTCATAACTGTGTGACCATTAATAGGTATCAGAGCTGGTAAAAGCTACTAAGACAGTAGCCTTCAAACCACTCTGAAACTTCGTATTGGGATGAACATTATGCCTAACCAGAGGAAAGGCTTGACTAGCCAAGACTTTAGCCTCCTAAGCCACATAGGCTTGTTGTGTTCTGGAGAAACGCATATAAAATTCAAGTTTGTTTATTCCGTTACCGCATTTGACCAATATGGCGAATCTACAAAGTTCAGCTTACGGATATCCCGAAACTCTTCGGTTTGTTTGCTAGGGATTACTGATGTTAAAGTAGTATTGAATGGTGGGACAGAGAAGTCCCTATTTAACAGGATCCCAGTGGATAGCCGTATGTGTGGTAACTGGCTGAGCAGATCACTTAGGAGAATGAGAGATTATGATATACGTCGATGTCTTCCTATAGTCTACGTACATTACAATCGTTAAAAGAAGTGAAGAATCAGTCGTATCAAGAGCTATCTAGATTTCTGATAAAATCATAACGCTGAAATATAGTCATTGTAGTGGCTGATTTCAAGTGGAAAAGGAGTGACAGGCAGAAAGTAATATTTATGGCACCTATGGTGTCTGATGGCGACAAACCGCCTTTTATTGTTCTGTTCATATAATTATCTGTTTCTCATCAACACTAATTTCAAACATGAAGCGTGACATTACCTCACCAGACGCCCACCGTCATCAATTCGACGATGGATTGGAATAGATCACATAGCTATAAGACACCATTGTTGGGGAGGGTCATAGAACACCGTAGTTCCTTCTTGAACACATGCGTAGAGTTCAATCTCGCAGACGTCCGTGGACTTAGAAATTGATAGCTGTATTTAACTTTTGTGACCAACTTCGTGATATGAACACTAAGTCTTTATTTTTGGGGGAAATAACGGAATGCATATCTGAGATAGACACTAATATTCGTCCTGAGGAAGCCTGGCATAGTATATAGACACAGAATTACATAGGTGATACCTTTGGAGTTCCCTGCCGACGAACCGACAACGATGGTCGTCTTCTACAGTTCTCCTCAGATAATTATCTGTTTTGTAGTCAGCAATTACTAGACACAAAGAGAAGTAATGCCTAACCTGGCGACCTCCATTACTAAACCAACTTTGGATTCAAGTAGACCACATATCGACAGTGTCGTTGGTGAGGGTCAGCAGAAGACTGCCGCTCCTTGCGGAACACTTGAGTAGGCTGGGATCACACCCTGGTTCACACGCAATAATGCTTATGACTAAATGGACATAAAAGACTGTTAGCAGCGAGTTAGGCACGCCCATAATTAGATCAAGACACAGAGTCCGTATTTAAGGAAGAAATTGCTTAACGAGTATCTGAGGTTGACACTATGATTCCTACTGGAGAAGCCTCGCACAATATACAGTTATCTGTGGGCACAGTTGTAAAGACTATTGGTAACATAAAATCAAAACTTAGTAAGAGCTAGTGGATTTCTACCACTCCATCCGAACTGATTTAGGCAAGAAGATTGATTCTAGCGTGTTCCGAATATGATAGGGAGCGAAAGCTGCTCAAATGCAAACTAGCAAGAAGTCTTCGTAACGACCATTAACAGTGGAGAGTAACACAAGCGAAAGCGACAGAAAAGTCATAAGTGATAGGTGACAACTATTTAGCCTTATCGGGGAAACAGGTGGTAAAAAGCAAATGATAAGCGAAACAATCTCCGAGAAAAATGACACCATAATTAGCTCCCAGGATAGACGACTGGAAAGATGGAAGGAACACTTTGAAGAGCACTTTAATTGACCTACAGCTACACTCAATTTACCAAGCATCCAACACCTCCCAGAATGGGATGTAGGCAGCTCCTCCGTCCCTAAATAAGGTTACTAGGACTCACTAATCTGAAACGAAGCAAACTGTGGGACTTGATGAAATGACTCCAGAGGTGTTTAAGGACAGTGGAGACAGTTTACTGTCTGCGTTAATCGAGGTATTAGGCGCCGTTTAGAAATCAGAAATAGTCCCGTTGAGCTGATGTAAGTCATTGATTATCCTGATACATAAGGACGGGGCGGATTCTGGAATATAGGCATACTTACCAGCTACCAACAATTGTCATATTTCTTGACATGAAAGCGGCACTCGAATCCGTCGACCGATAGGTACAATAATGATGTTTTTCTGTGAAGGGAATGTCGAGAAAATACATCACACTGATCAAGGCACTCTACTCGAGCTTATGGAGTCAGATGAAGGCCTGTGGAGAATTGTCATTGGAAATGGTGTCCGTCAGGGATGCCTAATGTCCGCCTTTCTGTTTAATTTCATGATAGATATACTAATAACCTCGCCAGATACTAGCTTGCTAGGCTACTAGCTTACTAGTTTTCTCGCCGGTCCCAAGCCCGGGTAAAGAGGGAGGGTTGGGGCGTGGTGCTAGCAACTCCACCCCTGTAAAACAACCAAATCGCTACAGAAACTTCAACGAATAAATATATTAAAAATTCTAAAAACATAAGC